TAATGCTCATTATTGGTGTTGTCTCCATTAACTCTTCCCCTTTATCTATGGGACTAGCCACTCTTCTCTTCTTCCTTACCCTTCTATCTTCATTATCTACCTGCTGTACCCCTTCTTCATTCTCCAGCTCCACATACCTGTTCTTGAGCTCTATTTTTCCTTCACTGACCTATGTTTTCCTCTGCCTGGTTCTCGGAGTCACATGCTTCCACTGTCCATTTTCTTCACCCAGCAGTCCCCCCTCTGAGGCCCTTGGTCCTGCTTCCATCTGCATATTTAAGCTTTCCCCTTCAGCCATGTCATGCCTTTGCTCCATCATCTGCTCAAACCCCCTTCTAAACTCGACCAGAGTTTCCACCTGCGTCTCCAATCCTCGGATCTTTTCTTACATCAGCTCTATCAGGCAAGTGCCTGTAAGTTAATGCTAACAAAACTCCTTTCAGGTCCCCCCTCCAGAATCATGTACATCCCACAGCTGCCACATCCAATCCTCCTCCTTGTGTTCTCTACTACTTGGGCCATGGCCACTAATGCCTTTGTGTTTTATCAGCCTTCTCACCTAAATCCTGTTAGTCCAGCAAACACAAAAACAAACCAAAACACTCCCCCCATACACACAACAAAAACAAACCCCAAACAAGTCCCACAATCCCCTTACAAACTGCTACTCAAACTACTCTGTTTACAGCTCTGTTTGCTGGCTCCTGTGCTGCTGCAGCTATCTAGCAATCGAACTAGAACTACAGTAGACTGCTAGAGAAACACACAGCCCACTTAGCCACACTCCTCATTTGGAACTATAAGTGAATAGGCAGCAAGAGAGACAAAACAAGCAGCACAGTACAGTGGTTAGCTTACTTCTAAAAAGGGGGAAAGCATTTTTCTTCTCTGTAGTGAAGTTTCCGAGTGTATTAAGTCAATGTTCAATTGTAAACTTTTGAAAGAACAACCATAACAATTTGTTCAGTGTTAAGAGCATTTTAGAATGATGGACAATCTCCGCATGGGTGGTGTTGTAACTCTGCTGTTCTACTGTAAAGCAGAAACAAGATGATACATTTTACAGGACATTTTCACTGGTTCATAGGCAGCGTGATACTTGGGGGAGGCAACTATGGGCCATGTTATTTCTGAGATGGCTGTTGAATTGGCCTTTTCCTTTTACTCCTCCACCTTAATGTTTTATCTCAGATACTCTTTACTAGACTGAGTTTTGAGTTTGACATTTTTTCCATCCCCTGCTTTGTGTGCTGACATTGCTTGTGCATTTCTTCAAACTCACCAGCTGTTTTCTCTTCCTCGCAGATACCTGAGAGAGACTGAAAGAAACCATTTCAGTTTAACACTTCCGTCAGCTCACATTGCAATACCAGCTCATTCAAATGTGGCCTGGCAGGGGGAAGAGGGTTCCAAACCTAGGCACTCTGCCCTCCTGTGCACTGTCTGGTCATATAGTGTAAAGCACAGAGCCTCCTTCCTCCAGGACTGGGGTGTGTGTCAATGTGGGATAGTCCCATGAAAGCTAGGAATGTTGGGAGGGTTTCATTTTTATCTGCTCATTATTTGTCCTGCAACTTAAGGCCTAAGCTTTTCCTTACGCCTCAGGTGCCTCTTCAGGAGCACCTTGATTTACAAGGTTGTTGCTCCTTGAAATTTGGGATTTTTCATTTTCCTGGTGCTCTTTATTTGTTTTATTGGTGGGCCGAGGGAGGAGATGTTCTGTCCCTCACTTGGCGTTCCTCATATTTTCTCCATCATTCTTCAGTTGTCAACCACATCTAGGAAGAATTGCTGAGGGGGGATTATCTCTGAGTAATCAGGTAACTCTCCAGCCTGGCTGAAACAGCTGGCCTGTCCTCTGCAGAAACTGACCTTTTCCTTTTGGAAAGAATAATGCTGCTCCCAGGCCTCTGCTCGAACCAAAGACAAAGCAATGCAAAGGCAGAGGCCCCTCTGGACAACAGTGAGAGGACTAAGGGGACACCCCGAGCCTCATCTGCATCGAAGATAGGACAGACACCTCTACATTAGCATGAAGATCAGCACCTCCAAAGCAAGAGCCACATGGAACTATGGGATAAAGCAGAAAAGCATTGCCCCATCTACATTAGCATGAAGAGCAGCACCTCCAAAGCAAGAACCACATAGAACTATGGGATAAAGCAGAAAAGCATTGCCTGGTGGGAAATCTGTGCTCTGGATGCTAATGAACCCAGGCCTGCTCACGCCCAAATCAGTAACTATCAGACCAATCGTAGTAACAGATATCGATACCCAAAATGCTGAAACTGCCTAATTGCACAAGCTCTCTCGAGGAACTCCGCCCATGGCTGGGAATGAGCCGTTTCTATTGTCCTGTCTATCCAAACCAATTTTAGACTATCCCCTTGAACCACCTGTTTACTTGTAAACAAATCCAGTGCCCCCCTTGAACCACTGTTGTGTCCTTACAAAAACTCCTACCCTTGCTCAAGAAAAGTGTTCTGATGCCCGGATCTAGAGTCTGCATCAGATCTATTGGGACTTCATCTGCTCCGGACTGATTGTGCAGGCGGCTCGGTTCTGCTCGTCTCCAACACTCTGGATCCCCCAGCTACCATGTGGGAATCCCAATCAGTCCAAACTTCACAGAGTGGTGACATCTCTCTTCTCCCTTCCTCCCAACCCCAAGCTCCTGACCCTGCTTATCAGTTGTGGTTTGCTAGCCCTACCATTTGTAGTTAGATTTAATATTATAACTGTTTATTTTGCTCCCTTTGTTTGGTTATGATCTAGAATAAATCTATATACATGAAAATATTTTTCCTGCCACGAAAATGACCAATGTGTGGGCGGGGTGGAGCGAGCTTCTGGTAACTTTCATTGTTAAGATGATTGCTTTTCTCTTTTCCTCTCTCTCACTCAGGGTTGTTTTGGCTTCTCCATTCACTCTGCAACAACACTCCTTGTACCTAAGCTAAAAATCCCCGTAGTGCCCAAACATCCTTGCCATATGTATATGGAAAGTTAGCACTGAAATACTTGACCAAAGAGAGACCTTTTTTGCTTAACTATTAAGAATGTTCTGAAAAAAAACACAATGGTTTTACATCTGCCCAAAGCAGTTCATGTAAAAGGTAATTAATGCAGAGAGGGTTACTAGGTTTTTTGGTGCTGGTGTTGTGACTATTAAAATGTTTTCTGTAGCCATCTTATGGCCCAAAATCATGAAGAAGTTTGTATATACAAAGGGGAAAAATATGATGGTACTTACTTAGAGGAACAGGTAACTGGCGTAAACAAGATCATGTTCTGAGACTTGTTGTACAGTTGTCAAGAAGGCATTTGTTCAGAACACACTTTGTTGTTTGGGCCACAGGCAAAATGTATAACCAAAAAAATGGTTAATATTGGCACATTGAGCACATGGGCAGTTTGAAGCTGTTTTTTAATTGTCAAATTTGGAGTAAAGAACATTTTTAGCGTATCTGGCTTTTTAGGAACCCTACATGACGTGTCCATGTGACACACATGGTGTTCACTAAACTGTCGGTGAGCCACCATTGAATTCACACTTTGTTTTGGTTGATAGTACAGTTAAAGCTTTATATGTTGCTGCGCAAGCCGAGAACTGTCTGGCCTTTCCAACTTCCACATGGCCTCTATTTTGTACAGACCCACAGTCGCTGGGAGAGGGAGAGGTTGGGGTCACTGCCTGCCCTTGTATTGTCTGGGATCGTCCCAATTGTGTTGGCTTAGCTTTACAGGATATTAAAGGAGTTTGAATTTTTGAGGACATTATGGAGTCACATGCTGACCTTAAGTTGCCAATGTGCAGCAGTATTTGGCGTTCTTTTCTTGGTCTGTTATGATATTCTCTCACAGAGCAAACCCCTGAGAGATCATCTTCCTGACCGGTTACCAGCACTCTTTAGAGTTGTGTGGTACGTACTTTGTTGCCTCTCCCTCAAACTGCATTTATGCTATTTTCTTGATCAAGCTGCAATTAAATTAATATTCAAAGCTGCAGAAATCTTCCTTCCACTTTCTGTAGTACCCAATAAGAATAATTTCGGTTACTCCACAGCTGGTTGCACATTTATTGCAGTGCAAAAGATGACCAGTTGGTACAATATGTTAACATCTGGTTCTACTGGGATTGTTTGAAACCTACTTTACATCAGAAAATAGATTTGGCAAACAAGTAACTGCCTTGTGATAAGAATCAGCTTCAAGGATACATGGTGTCATTCTATTCAAACACTAAGCAAAGAAGGAAACACTTCAATTGAAATAAATCTTGATCTCAAGGCTATCTGGGCCAAAGGAATGTGTGTGTTCTACTCTCCCATGCCCAAAGCAATGACCTAAAACAAGGAACAGCAGCAGCACAAAACGAGCAAGGTTTTCTTTTGAGGATTGTCCACGTGCATTGCACTCCTGGGGCACATGCCTCAAGATTGGCATCTGCATGGACAAAGAATCAGTTTTGTTTCAGCTAGACTAGACTAACACGGCTACATCTCTCGTAACGGTGTGGTAAGAAAACTCCTCCTCTTGGTAACAGGTGCTGAGTTGAATGTGTTTTTCAAATGCCAATGATGAAAAGTCAAGGGTTAATATAGTATAATAGTGGAGGTACCACAGTTACATGCAGTTCTGAATTTAGGAGGAAGCCAGGATGTATTCGCAACATGTTGGCAAATGTTCACTTTTTAAAAATAGCAATAGTAGCTTGAGTTCATGTAAAACGCTAGCCTCTGTGATGGCTCATTTGCCAGTTATACAGTGGAGAATGAGAGGCAGGCAAGGGAGTAATTCTCAGGATTACATACACAAAGATACATGCACACTGCAAGGGGGGGATTGTTGGGCTGTCTGGGAGAGAAGAGCAATTCTTGAGGGCATGTGGCAAGGGAAGAAAACTTAAAATCTCTGGAAAGGAGGCCACCCACCCTTCCTAAGCCGGTGGTCAATCCCCGGGTTATTGACTATCTCGGTTGTGGGCAGTCTGCTAGCCACCCTGGTGAGGGAAGGCCGGGAAGGAATTTTTTTTCTACAGGTGCAGTTGTAGATTTTTGCCTCCTTCACACTTCGCTCAGGTGGGTTCTGTTCACACACAACATGCCAGGCACTAAGGGTAGGTCTAGACGTACCCTGTGTGTGCAGTACTCCGTAAAAGACAACATACCGTAGTAAATAAATATCTTGGGGAAAGGCCTTAAGGACAAGTGCTCAGTAATGGAGCTGGGGTTAGTTGAGGACTCATATGAGTGTGACGGCAGGGAGCCAGCCCCTCTTTATGACAGTCCACCATACTGCTCCTCTGAGGAGGGTGATTGGTCAAAGGCACTGCTGGAGGGAAAGGTTAAAGACCCCCTGCGATTGTAAGGATCTGCTGAAGGGCCATGGGTGAAAAGGGAAGGGGAGTTACTAACGTACTCTCCTGCCCTCCCCCATTAATTATGGGAGAAAAAATGGGGGGAGGGGTCTCTGCACTGTAAATGTTAGCTGCAGCGTAGTCCCAGTGATTAAACCCATATCAAATCTCTCCCCTCAGTTTGGCATAGCCAGACTATACACCACTGACTTCCCACAATGAGGAAGATCCCCAGCAGGATCCTTAGCAGCGAGTCAGGATTTAACATCACCTTTGCGCCAGCACAAATTTTCCACAATGAAGGGCCATGGGTGCCAGACTGGCACCATGAAGGTAAGCGCCTCACTTGGGGGTTATTTGTGTAATGTGTAAAATATTGATTTTATTTCAAAAAATGCAGAGATCAACTTAGTTGCAAAGTGAGTGGACTCTCAGCATCTCAATCTATTCATAACTATTGCATTTCTGCAAGTCAGTGCAGGGCCAGTTTTCTTGCTGCTTTTTCAAGCATCAGTTTTCCCCCTGGCTGGTTATCTGGGATCATGTCTGCACTTCTCTCTGCTTTCAGCATTACCGAAGGACACTTTTCCTGGACTGTCTCCAGGCCAGCCCGAGTTATGTTCCGGCAGAAATCCACATGGAGTGTTTGTAAAGAGCCTCCATAGAGGGTCACAGCTTCCAGAGTCCGGTCAGTGATTCGCACACAGTTTTCCAGTTTGAGTGTCTTGAGGTTTGGGCAGCTCTTGAGAAGTAACAGCAGGTAATCATCTGTGACATGGCCACACCCAGAGATGCTCAGAAACAGCAAGTTTGGGCACCTGAAAAGAGTCCTTGTATGTGAGACAGGAGAGTAATGTGTAGAATCAGCAAAAGCAAAATCATTAGCGTCCCAAAATCAAGTTCTGAAAAACAACCCAGGTCCCAGGCAGAGATTTTAATGGATACCTGCGCTGAACAGACTTCTGTTGGCTGAGAGATCAAGAGTGAAGGAGCCTGCCTGGCCCATCCTGCATGCTGGAGGGTAGGCATAGCCAGACTATACACCACTGAGAGAAATGGTCAACACCCAACTCCACCACACGTGCATC